AAAATAAAATAAAACTCTGGCTTATTTGAATGAGATCGTTACCACATTATTGTTTTCATTTGCATTTATTTGATTATCCATGAGGTAAACCCTTTTAATTAATTTATTTTTTTATTGCTTCTTATTTACATTCTCTTCTGTGGATTGTCTGTCCTACCCTTCTCCCATTTTTCTTTTTAGTTCCTTTTGGTTTGATTTGTGTGAGATTTACATGTTATAGATAAAAACCTGTTGTCTATGTGTATCATACTTGTGAAAAACTGTTTCTCCAAAACTGTTGTGTGCTTTTTAATTCTGTAAACGGTACTTTTCTGTTATGATTTCAAAATTTTTTATATTGTTAATTGTATCAATAGTTCCTTTGTGATTTCTTCCGTTGTACTTACACTTAGAACATCTGGTTAAATACTTCTATATACTTTCTTATTGGTTTTTCTTATTTAAATTCCCTTTGTAGACTATGTCAGTTTACAGAGTTAAGTGAATTCAGCTTTTTCATCATATATTCAAGCGATGTTAATATTATTACACAATCCTGTCCTCACTGACATTTAAAACAATCATCTTGATCAGATTTTAAGTTTTATAGAGCTAGGGTTCCCAGCCTGGAGTGTACACGGGAATCACCTGGGGACCTTTAGAAACTACTGACCATGGACCTCATGCCCAGAGGTTCTGGGGTGCAGCCTGGGTGTAAGGGGGCAGGTCAAAGCCACAGTCCAGGCGGTTCCCGTGTGTGGCCACTCCTGCAGAGGTGCTGGTTCTCGTCCAGGAGCAGGCATCACAGTCCCTTACGGAGCTTTAAGCAATTGTGCCCCACCCTGGAGACTGTCATTCAGTGCACATGGGCCAGGGCCTGGGTAGACAAATTTCTGAAATCCTCACAAGGGATTCTCAGTGCATTCCTGGCAGAGACGCTGTTCCAGGGCTATCTAGGATGGTTTCCTTACTTTATCTGGTTATCCTTGGGCTGTACCACCTTAATTCAATTACTGTGGCTTGATTATGAACTTTTATATCTGGTAGGGGTAGTTACAACTCTTGAAAAATGTACAGACATCTTCTTTTGCCTATTATGCTTCCACATTGGTGGTTCTCAAACTTTCACATGGGGAACATGAGAAAAAACCCAAGGTTGCAAGCCCCATCTGAAAGGGCCTGGGCTCCATTTGATTGACTGGTGCTCCTGGTGACTGTACCATGCCAGGGTCTGAAAACCACTATTCTAGAATCTAGATGATGCTCTTAAGAATTGTTGAGTTCAGGGCTGGCTGAGTGGCTCTTCTGGTTAAGAGCTCGCTCAAGAGTGTGAGCTCTGAGCAACAGCGGTTCGATGCCCGGCCCGAGCTGAGCAGCCGCTGAGCTGCCAACAGGTGGCAGGATGGCTCAGCTTAAAAAAAAAAAAAAAGAATTGTTGAGTTCAGAAATAATCTTGTTGGGCTTTTGGTTAGATCTGCATTCGGCTTCAGGGTTCACCTTCCAACTCACTCTGTAAGGACTTGTCTGGTTACTCCAGCCCACATTCATTGCTCACTGCTCTAAACTCTTCATTAACTGACATCCAGTTGTCATTTACCTTGGTAGTTACTTGATACTTAATTTTTTTAATGTTTTTAATTTAAAAAAATTTTTTTTTGCAATAGAGTTTGGACTAGACTGTAAGTACTGGCAGGGCAGGGTCTGTCTGGTCTCTCCTTCCATCAACCCTAGTAGGGTCTGGCTCATGGAAGGTGCTCAGGAAATGCTTACCTTCATAATCTCCACAAATTCCTTGAGTTTATCAAAATCCTTGTCCATTACGTCTTTGATCTAAAGAGGAAGAAAGGCACAGAGCATGTTACTGAATGCGGAATCATCTTTGGGGCATTTGAAGCAAAGGGCAGCAGCTGGTCCCCTGGAGTGAGCTGGATAAAGCTCAAGGAACGGACAGACGATGGCCCATTAAAGCCACGTTCTTCCCAAGGAGTCTAGGAAGGACGTGGGTACATGTACCATTCAGTCACCACCAGCAGCAGCCTTGGCACAACTTAGGCCTGGCTACTGCAAAGCTTCCACGTGGAGCTCAGGTCGCAGCTCCAAGGATGTCTCCTGGCTTGCGCATTCTCTTTCTTCGTAAGGATGCTGTAGGTGGTTCCATCAAAGAAACAACAAGTCTGGCTCTGCAGCTTGCTCAGGGGGGGTGGATAAGGAGAATGGAGTTGGTCCCTGACTGCCCCCAAATTCCAATAAGCCCCTCTCACTCTGTCACTCAAGTTCAGCTCCCCAACCTTATCCATAAGACACCTTAGAGAGTCTTTATCATTCAAAAATTGGGTTTAAGCTTCAAACAAGTAAGAAATAGATATTCTAAGCTGCCTGGCCCTTAAATGCTCTAGGGAATTCAGGCTGCGTTCCTTTGATTGCCTTTTCCGTGTAATTCCTGATCTCCCTTGCTGTTCAGGCAGGCACCGCATTTCCCTCGAAGCTGCCCTTTACCTCCATGTCCTAAGAAGTCCCGTCCTGTTACCTGTTTTATCTCCTCCATTTTTTCCTTGAGCTGTTCCCTCACCTCCCTGAGTTCATTCTGAGGAAATAAAATAGGGAAGAGAAAAAGTAAAGAAACGTTTTGGGGGCCGGCCGAGTGGCGCGTTGGTTAGGAGTTGGCTTGGGACGCCAGCTCTGAGCAGCAGGGCCCCGGTTCGGATCCCACATGAGGCCCAGTGACGCTGCGCCCTCTACAGCTAAGATGGTGAACAACAGCTCGACCTGGAGCTGGGCTGCCGGGAGTTGCCAGCGATGGTGTAGGCTGCAGCCCCTGCTGCCATGAGCTACCGTGAGTGACCGGCAGCCGGTGTGAGCAGCCGTTCAATGGTTGGCAAGCAACTGCCTCACCTGGGAAGAGTGCAATGATAATACCAACATGGGCCAGTGAAGTGATGTCCTCCACAACTAAACTGAAGAGCAAAAGGACAGCAACTTGTCTGTTCCCCTTCCCCAATTCCCCAGTGCTGTTCCCGTCCCCCAATTCCCCAATAAAATCTTTTAAAAAAAGAAAAGAAAAGAAAAGAAATGTCTTGGATAGAAGGTAAACTGTCAAAGAAGGAGAGGAAAGATCCTAGGAGCAGGGACAGAAGAGGAAAATGGAGAGACTTCCCATTAAGAAGGAAAGGAAGGATGCCGTTAAAAAAACAGGGCAGTGGGACATACAGACATCACATGTCTCCTGATATTCTGTGGTGTGACTGCTCAAAATGCACAGCTTAAATCTAATCACAGACAACCCAGACTGAGGGTCGTTCTACAAAATAGATGCTCTGTAATCCTCAGACATGTCCATGTTGCAAAGGACAGGGGTTGAAGAAATGTTCTAGATGACACTGTTCTAAGAGATATGGAACCTAGATGCGTGTAACCCTAGATTGGATCCCAGACCAAAGGAGATGTTGTTTCTTTTGTTATGAAAATCAGTAGCGGGATAATAGTTGACATTAGAGTAAGGCTGTAGATGAGTATTATATCAATGTTAAATTCCTGATTTTGATATTTTAATAATTGTACTGTAGCTATGTAAGACAGTGTTCTTGTCTTTAAGAAATACTGAAATTTGAGAGAAACATGCTCTCAAATGGTTCAGGAAACATTATATATATATATATATATATATATATATATATATATATATATATATATATATATATATATATAGAGAGAGAGAGAGAGAGAGAGAGAGAGAGA